GACAGTTTGTTGGAATTCTGTATTCATTTTTTCAGCGTGATAATATCTAAGCACTGACAGGTAGAAGCAGTATCACCAGGACATCATTCACTTTGACAGTATCATGATTTTGGTTGTTTTTGAATCCATAACATTAGTGTGTTTCTTTACCAGAAACATTAGCAGTTCATATTATATTTAGATTTTAAATAGGATCTCAAGGATTTCATTTAAGAATAACACAGATGCTTGTCAGAAATTCAGAGCTATTAAAATATGTTATTTAGTTTACCTAAAGATGTTGGGGTTCTTATTTAGTTGGCACAGTCCAAGTATTAAGATTCTGAAGCTGCACTGGCAGATAGGAGGTCTACAATTAATTTAGAAAACCTGTTCACAGACGGCTGTTGTTTCAAGACACCCCACCAACAGGCTCCAAGCGGCCTACGCAGTGGAGTGTCAAACAGCTGAGGGCCCCGGAGCCCTGAGCGTAGGCTTGAGGGATTTGTATCAGATTTCTCCGCACAGGTTGCTGGCGCCAAAAGGGGGACCCAGGAGGCCGACACAGCGGAGTTCGTCTGGCTGAAGGTCATCAGGACAAAGTGGCTCAACCCCAGGCTCTCCGGCCCTGACCGAGTGACCCAGCGGACCTCTCATGCCGTCTGCCTAGGAGAAAAGGGGGACAGCTCGTACCACGGGAGCCAGTGTGCGGCGGGGAAACCACCTACTAGGACCAGGGGACGATATCAGGACGGATCTGGCTCTCGTCAAGGAGGTCGACTTGGAAGCTGTCATCGGCGGACCGGAGAAGGAGGATTGGGAGGACATCTCTCCAGCAGTCGACCCGGGAGGTATCATCAGCGGGCCGGAGAAGGAGGATCGGGAAGACATCTCTCCAGCATCGACCCGGAAGCCGCCATCAGCGGGCCGGAGGAGGAGGAGGAAGACATCTCTCTAGCAGGCAGCCCAGAAGCTGCCGTCAGCGGATCGGGGGGACAAAGACACGGCAAGCCAGGACGGCACAGGGGACTTGTCGAGGCAGCAGAGGAGTCTACTTCTCTCTGATCAGTTCCACCCGTGAAGGGAAAGCCGCATCTCCCCCTCAGGTTACACCTCTCATGGTTCCTTCACTGCCATGGAAAGTGGTGTTCTGTCTCCATGAAGGTTTCAAGTACTCTAAATCCCAGCTTCGGATGGATTTATACAATGTTTGGGGGACGGACACAGTAGAAAAGAATGACAGTGGGTATGTTTCAAAATGCCTTGTTTAAGTTTATCTCTGGAGAAAGAGATAAAAAGGGGGAATTGTGGAGATTGATATAAAGTATTATGGCAAAAAGTTTGATACAGCGTAATTCTGGTATATTCATTTTTATGTCACCTGATATAGGCTATGGGATGTTAAGTGTTAGTTTTTGAGAGAAATGTATGTGCGTTCATTGCAAGACTCCTAAAAGAGCAGGAGAATTGAGTCACACACAATTAGAGAGACAATGGTCCTTCTGATTCTGGGTGAGCTGACTTAGGGTGGATGGAAGTTCAGAGATGGCCTGGGGGTATGAAAACAGTTAGGCGTTGTTGGTGAGCTGGTCCTGAGGAGGTCATGAGATGATGACTGTTACATTTCCAACAAGTATGGCTTTCATAAAGAAACACATGACTTGTGTGATAAGCTACATGATAAGATGTGTTTTGTTGCAAAGTGAGCCTGTTTTGTTTTCTGCTGGCACGCGCTGATTCACTGTGACACAGCATATTATGCGTCTCCCAATGAGATGACCTGAAAAGATGACCAGCTGACCTAACCCCTCCTGTTTTTTCTTGTATATCTCCTGTGGAGTCCTGGCGTTCGCTCTCTCTTCTCGGGCTGCCAGGACCGAAGGATCTACGCAGCACGCGAACCAGGGCAGGAGTGGGCCTACTCCTTACATTACAGTATAATTGTATTGTATTATATTGTATTGTAATGTATTATATTGCATTATTACCTTTTATAATTAAAACAGATTATTGTTTAAACTGGTATCCTGGTGTTCTCTGATTTCCTTCCTGTTATGATTTTAAGCAGGACTCGCCAAAACGACACGCGGAGCAGAGTGGGGTTGTAAAAACCTCAAAACTCCGACAACTCTAAATATAATTTTATTTCACTTATTTTACACCTTTGAAAAAAAAAACATGCCCAAAATGGAATTTATTTGGTCATCATATCAGTATTTTAGAGAGCTCCCCCCAAATTTCACAAACCATGTTCCCAGGGGAGCTCATGTCACCACTAGGGGAGCTATAGCTCCCCCTGCTCCCCTCCAGTTCACACCCTGGTTCCAGGCAGAGGGGACAAATCAGCACTGGATAACCTCCTTCAATCTGACACAGACAGTCTGAGTGAAGAAGAGGATGAATCTCACGAGGACCAAAAGCTCCAAATGGCAAGGAGCGAAGTTCAGACGTACTTCGCAGAGCCAGCCATTCACAAAAAAGATGACCCTCTGAGATGGTGGAGGGAAAATAAGGGACGTTTCCCTGTATTGTCAAAGCTTGCAAGATCTTTCCTTTACATTCCTGCAACATCAACCCCGTCTGAGCGAATCTTCTCTGTGGCGGGGAATATCTGCTCTCAGAAGAGAGCAAGCCTCTCCCGAGATCATGTGGAGATGCTGACTTTCCTCCATTTCAACCCAGAATAATCTAGCCTAGAGTGTTTATCCCTTTTAAGTTGAAATAGTTTTTTTATTTGATTAAGGGAAACTGCTGTAGTTTTTATTTTATATTGCTGCTGTCCTTGGTTTAAAAATGTTGACGGACAGATTTTTTATTTATCTTTTATATATTTCAGCAGAAAGTTTAATAAATATGTATTTTTTAATCAAGTATTTGTCTATTTTGTCTTCATTGTTAGTGTCCACATGCCTAAAACAACCTCAAACCTACATTTAAAAGTTGATGGCTAAATAAGAGCATTTGAGAAATTGCGCAAGTAATAGTCCGAATAATCGATTAGTCGTTTCAGTAATCGATAGATTAATCGATTATCAAATTAGTAGTTTGTTGCAGCCCTACCTACAACCCTCACCACCACCCCAGCCTATCCGACATATCCCTCCACACAAACGACTCTCTCATATTCACACTCCGAAGGAGTAAAACAGATTAGCTGGGAATTTCTCTCCCCATCCACATCTTCCGCCTGAACTCGTATCTCAGCCCATACGAGCCACTAACCAAATACCTCAGCGCAAGGTACGTTGCACACGCAACGCCTCAACACCCACTCTTTCTCACCTAAACAGGGAAAATGGCCACACGTTTCTGGTTCCAGAAACACTTCCACAATGTCTTGCTTATTTTGGGGATATGCTCAGAACACTATTCGAGCCATTCCTTCCGCATTGGTGCAGCGTCCACAGCAGCGAGACTGGGCATCTCTGACCAAACCATCCAGGTCCTGGGCCGCTGGTCATCCCAAGCGTACCACGCTTACATCCGTAACAATCTCAATGATCTCAGACAGGCACACGCTCAACTCAGTTCCATTTAATCCGACTCTTTTGGGGGCCCGTAATCAGCCCACGCAGATCATGCCGGAGACGGAACCCCCACTCTGAGTCTCCCACTGCACGGACCACAGCTCGCCCTCCCAGAACATCCCTTCACCCCCCTCATATCATTCACATGTTACTTCAATAAACTTACAAACATCACACTGTTTTGGCGTGGTTCCTGCTAGTGAACGGTGCTTTAAACCGCCGCCGTCCTCACCGTCACCACCTTCTACCTGAGCAGCTGCAGGCTCCGCCTCATGCTTCTGTGTTTCCAACCTTTCAGGCAAGGCGTCTGACACAGCGAGCTCAGGGTGTACAGGCGGCACAAGAAGACCCCTTACCACCAACTCATCCACTCCCGAAGCCTTTAAATCCTTCTTTAATAAGAACCGGGGAGGCGGCAGCCATAACACCTAGTTAATCAGTTTGTCCTGCCCTCACTGAGCACAGGCACCTGTAAATTTGGGTGCTGCTCTCAGTGCTTTGTCTTCCTGTTCCTGCCTGTTGGCGTCAGCTGATAGAGGTGTTATGGTTTTATCTTGTTATACACAATGTTGATTCTTCTCTCTATAACTAGCTAAATACATGGGTCTGGGGTAGAGATCTTCGCAATTGGTTTGGCAACCACTGTGTCACCTTGTGGCTGCAGCACTTGTGAATTCTCCGGGCCGAAGCTCCAAATAAACCGTCAGTGGTTGCCATCAAAGTTCCTGCTCTCCTCGTATCTCTCTGAGTTTCGTCTCCATTGCTATAGAAGTTTCCACTCACAAATCCTACTTGAACTTTAATAAAATGTAACTACTGTACAAGTAGTTACTGTCACTAAAAGGTGTGACTTCTGTGCCACTAAGTTATTTTAATATCACCGGAGCTGGTGTCAAGGGCAGAAGACGAGATAAGGCAGAGCATGAATATTCATATTTCATTTTCATGTGTGTTTGCTTACATTTTTTCAATGATTGAGACACGTTCTTCGCATGTAGGCTAATTGAGTTGCCAGAACGCATAAAGAAGCAGCAAAATAGAGCTTATTTACCAAATGATTACCCGGGGTGAATCCTCTCAGTGCCCATACAGAGGTCCAGGTATCCTGAATACTACTTTATTGCTCTGCTGGACCCAAACCGGGTCCGGATAATGGCATTGCCCCCGAAATGCGAATATACTTTAACTATGTTGTTTTCAAGTTAGTGAAATTCAAGACGCACATATTTTACATAGATAGGAAGATACGCTTTGAATAAATCAGCAAGATCAATAAACTGATGTGCCCGTGCCACCTTTTTGTTTTTTTACCTTGGGCCCGCCTTCGCAAATAAAATGCCCACCCATGGATTTCGGTTTGGATACCAGTGATGATCAAAAGGTCATCAATGACAGTTACATTAGACTCTTTATCATATGACCTAATTGGTTGTATGGTCTGGGGTTATTTTAAGTCTTAGAACGTAAAATAACAATATCAACGAAGCACAAACCTAAATGGAAGTTCATTTTTTTAATTTGATATTTACATTATCACAAACAAAAACACTTGGAAGTAAAACAAAGAGTGGTTGAGGGTAATAGGGGGATTGGCAGCAGAACACTGAACATTTTTACACGTTAACTTTAAATGTATTATGTCAACAGATTACACAAAACTTAAATAGGTTAGTTGAAAGCAATAACATTAAGTTGAACATAATATTTCAAATTTAAACTTAATATTATTGCGTTTACCTAACCTAATACAATTATGTGAAATCTGTTGACATTTTTTCAGTGAAAGAAACCTTATGAAAGAAAGAACACATTCAATCTTGTCCCATACAACTCATCTATATGTGTGCAAAGCTCCACATTCCAAACACAAATCTCATTTAGTAAACAGGGAAAGTAATTAGGCAGTATTTTGTTTTTTAAGCAGCAATAGCCATGTGGCAGTGGACAGACACACAGAGGGGACAGTCAGTCTCACAGCTCTTAGTCTGCATTTACCAGCGGAGTATACAAGTATGCTGCATCGTCCACTTCATAGATGATGGTCACCGTCTCCCCAGAGTCTGACACTGCTGCACTGCTCTGAATGTAAGCCTGAGGAAGAGGAGACAGAGGTAATGTTATTTTTTTTTTTTTAAATGTGCATTGTTTGTTTTAATGGAGGGTTCGGTATCTTTCAATTAAATAATACAATAGAGTGGAGCAGGACTGATTCCTAAAATGCGGTAATGAGTTAGCATTTTACCACTTTTGAAATAAGGTCTGTGGAAAACAGATTTTCACCTGATGTTTTACAACCTAAAATAATGAATGAGCAAGGATTTAGGAATGAGTTTTAAAACCCGGTAATGAGTTAGCATTTTACTACTTTCAGTTCCCTCGTCTCGAAGTCGTCAGTTGTTTATTGTGCCTTTTTTTTTGTCGTGCGAATACAAATAAGTCAGTAAACCCCACTGGTGAATGTCTGAAGCGTCAATGCGTCTTAAAAACAGAGTGACTAAATTAGACTACGAAACGTCATCACGAAGAACATTAGCTGCATTTAGATTAGTGGTGGTGACATGTCATGTGGCCGTGATTTTTGTTAATTATAGCCTGTTATTTACAAAAAGTGCAAATATCATAAATTGTGTGTCTGCTTCAGAGCTTATTTTCAGCAGTATTTCAAAATAATTAAAAAAAATCCACTGCTTTTTATCGAGGGTAACTTGCGATGCTAATTTCCGGAGTTGGCTGTCAAGGTGACGTCATCACTGCATCTCTTTATGCACCTACAGCTAGAATAAACTACAGAATAGCCACATGAATCAAATCTGAACTTATTGTGTAACACTTCACCTTCTCCAGCAGCTGGAGCCGCTCCTCGTTCAGCAGGTTGTTCTGCCTCAGCTGGCTGACGGTGTTCTCCAGGCCCAGGAGTTTCTCCAGGTGTCGGCGGTGTCTCTGCTGCAGCATCTTCACCTTCTTCTGCAGCTCGGACACGATGGCCTCCAACTGCTCCTTACTCAGGCTGTTCTTATGGTAGCTGGCAGGTAAACAAGACGGAAAGATCAGAAAAACTGTCATCAGGGGTACTCAGATCTTGTACATACACTGAACAAAAATATAAATGCAACACTTTTGTTTTTGCTCCCATTTTTCATGAGATGAACTCAAAGATCTAAAACATTTTCTATATACACAAAATAACCATTTCTCTCAAATATTGTTCACAAATCTGAAAGAATCTGTGATAGTGAGCACTTCTCCTTTGCCGAGATAATCCATCCCACCTCACAGGTGTGGCATATCAAGATGCTGATTAGACAGCATGATTATTGCACAGGTGTGCCTTAGGCTGGCCACAATAAAAGGCCACTCTGAAACGTGCAGTTTTGCTTTATTGGGGGGGTCTGAGGGGGTCCGAAAACCAGTCAGTATCTGGTGTGACCACCATTTGCCTCACGCAGTGCAACACATCTCCTTCGCATAGAGTTGATCAGGTTGTTGATTGTGGCCTGTGGAATGTTGGTCCACTCCTCTTCAATGGCTGTGCAAAGTTGCTGGATATTGGCAGGAACTGGAACACGCTGTCGTATACGCCGATCCAGAGCATCCCAAACATGCTCAATGGGTGACATGTCCGGTGAGTATGCTGGCCATGCAAGAACTGGGATGTTTTCAGCCTCCAGGAATTGTGTACAGATCCTTGCAACATGGGCCCGTGCATTATCATGCTGCAACATGAGGTGATGGTCGTGGATGAATGGCACAACAATGGACCTCAGGATCTCGTCACGGTATCTCTGTGCATTCACAATGCCATCAATAAAATGCACCTGTGTTCGTCGTCCATAACATACGCCTGCCCATACCATAACCCCACCACCACCATGGGCCACTCGATTCACAACATTGACATCAGAAAACCGCTCACCCACACGACGCCACACACGCTGTCTGCCATCTGCCCTGAACAGTGAAAACCGGGATTCATCTGTGAAGAGAACACCTCTCCAACGTGCCAGACGCCATCGAATGTGAGCATTTGCCCACTCAAGTCAGTTACGACGACGAACCGGAGTCAGATCCAGACCCCGATGAGGACGACGAGCATGCAGATGAGCTTCCCTGAGACGGTTTCTGACAGTTTGTGCAGAAAGTCTTTGGTTATGCAAACCGATTGTTGCAGCAGCTGTCCGAGTGGCTGGTCTCAGACGATGAGGTGAACATGCTGGATGTGGAGGTCCTGGGCTGGTGTGGTTACACGTGGTCTGCGGTTGTGAGGCCGGTTGGATGTACTGCCAAATTCTCTGAAACGCCTTTGGAGACGGCTTATGGTAGAGAAATGAACATTCAATTCACGGGCAACAGCTCTGGTGGACATTCCTGCTGTCAGCATGCCAATTGCACGCTCCCTCAAAACTTGCGACATCTGTGGCATTGTGCTGTGTGATAAAACTGAACATTTTAGAGTGGCCTTTTATTGTGGCCAGCCTAAGGCACACCTGTGCAATAATCATGCTGTCTAATCAGCATCTTGATATGCCACACCTGTGAGGTGGGATGGATTATCTCGGCAAAGGAGAAGTGCTCACTATCACAGATCTTTTCAGATTTGTGAGCAATATTTGAGAGAAATGGTTATTTTGTGTATATAGAAAATGTTTTAGATCTTTGAGTTCATCTCATGAAAAATGGGAGCAAAAACAAAAGTGTTGCATTTATATTTGTGTTCAGTGTATGTAGTACTGCAAATTATTACAGTGTAGTAATACTATTTTAAAAGTTAAAGTAAGAGTACAACAGGTATCAGAAGTGTCAAAAGTAAAAATACTCATTCTGCTGAACATTGTGTAGGAGAAAAATGTACTTTATATTATTGTGTTAGAATGATTGAGGCATTGATGTGATCATCAATTAGATTTTGCTGGTTGGTACATCGTGACATTTTAATATACTACAATGTCGCTTGTGAATTACACCAAAGTCTATAATGTATACAAACATATTACTGATCATTTGTTGATTCAATTATGTATAATACATCTTAATCTTAATTAAACATTTATTAAATGTATATTATGTGGTTTTAGCAATTTTTTTGTTTAGCAATATTTACATTGAATATTTGTTTTTGCTATTGAAAGACCCATTAAACAAAGTTTAGAAGTAAATATGACTGTCATATAAATCATATGAACAGTAAATGTACTCAAATACTGCCCACCAATGGCTGTAATACAGAGAGCATATAGGACATAAAAGAATGGAAACGTAAGTACTCTTTAGTCCTATTTTAAATAATGGAATGTCGATATTTAGTTATTAAATGTTTGCTGTATTTTTAGTTAAGTTGCCATCTAAAACTGCTGATCCCATTCCAAATCTAAATACCGACATAAGAGTCTCACCAGTGCTCCTCCAGCTGCTGCTCCGTGGCGTCCTCTTCTGACATGTCGTCGTCTCCCTCATCTGTGTCCTGTCTCTCCATGGTGAGGACCAGGGACTTGGAGGAGGGGGGCAGGTGTTTGGACACTATGGGCAGAGTGGAGGAGATGGGCTTGGAGCTCAGAGCGGAGGACAGCACAGTGTCCGGGGATAAGGAGGGCAGGGCGGGGTTCTCTGCAGGGAGAGTGCTTGGTATCGCCTCAAAGTAAGCGATGACTTGAGTTTCATGTCCTCCGGTGATTTCCTCTGTGGCACAAGTCACACCTTCAACCCCGAGGGGGGCTACACCCTCACCTGAACAGCCCAGTGTGGAGACGTTCATGACCAGCCTGTGGCCCTGAGTTAAAAGTGCAGCGGTGATTCCACTCAGCAGCTCCTCCTGCCCTTCACCAGCAGGGCACTCAGACATCACCACCACTTCTCCGCTGTTACTCACGTCATTTACCGTCTGGAATAAAGTTAACGGGAAATTAGCTGCCCTTTGGAATCCGTCCCCGGTTAAGTCTGAGCGCCCAGGTTCTCCAACATCACTTAGCTCCACCAGGTTGGTTTCCCCCCTCTGGTGCGGGTCCACAGTTATCTCGTACAGGTGTACTGTTTGTAACGTGCAGTCCGTCTCCACTGCCGTGCTTTGATGACTGTTAGCTCGAAGCTGTTTCGGCTTCCTCTCACTGTGATCTGTGGCTTCCCGTTTCTACGAAGAAGAGAAACGACATGAAGCTTATTACATTTAAAGTGGACCTATCATGCTATATTTGAATAATATATAGTAGGGCCATACCTATATAAAACATGTCTGTGAAGTTTTATTTTCAAAATACCAAACAGATCATGCATTTTAGCCATGCCTCATTTCGCTCTATTTGCTGTATTCCAGCCGTTTTTGCAGGGGCTGATTCTGTGGCAAATGAGCTACAGCTGACCACGCCCCCCTGCAAAGGAGGGGGGCGAGGCACGAGCGTCATGTTACCATGCTGTTACCATGCCACGGCAACCCCCCATTCCCCTGATAGGTGGAGAGTTGCCCATATAGGTGGAACTCCTTGTTTCTGATGTCAAGGCAAGGCAAGTTTATTTATATAGCACTTTTCAACACAAGGCAATTCAAAGTGCTTTACAAAAAATGAAAGACATTAAGAAAATGGCATTTAAAATCAGTCATTAAAAAGAAAAGCTAATAAAATAAACATTAAAAGAAAAAATACATGGATAAAAGTTACAGTGCAGTCTAAGATATGAATAGTTCAATTAAAAGCAGCGACAAAAAGAAAGAGATATTTCAAATCTGTATCAGTCTGTATCAGATCTGTTGCAGCCCCGTTTTTAGAGATTTGGGTATGGAAGAAAAGAGAGAGGGTTGTGTTTTCTGACACTTGGTAAATTCCCTGGAACACCGGTGACACATATTTATGTATAAAAGATGTACAAAAGTGCATTTTGCATGATAGGTCCCCTTTAAGTTTGAGCAACTTCAGTGTCACAATCAATACTCTTTCCTACCACCTATAGAGACCTTATCAGCATTTGCCAAAGCACAATAAGTCCATATATAATAAATATAACTAAATAATCAATTCAGTTCTAATTTAATAAACTATCTATTTTGTATGAATTATTGTACTACATTTCAGTAGATAACTCGACAATCTTGTCACAATTTCCCAAAAAAAAATCCTCCTCTTCCTGTTTTCATGACTCATGACTCTGACCTATAAATGAAACTAACATTGTACAAAAAAGTCAACATTAAAATTGTAGGAAGTGTTAAAAATACAATTCCAGCCCAGGCAGTCAGCAATAACCTTCAGTATTTAGCTTAAAAATGGCAATATAATGACTTGCCAATATTGTTCCGCCCTACATTTTGAGACTCAGCCGTGTGTTTTACTTCCACCTCCTGGAAGATGGTGGGCACTGCGTCGCTCTCGAGGTAACGGATGCCCCATCGCACCTTGAAGCATGAAGGCGGGAAATGCTCATGGCAAATATACTGGTGTCTAGAGGGGGTCCAGTTCCCCCGCCTCATGTTGCTCAGCCACTGCTGCAGCCGGGCCGGGTCCTGCAGAGGGAACCTGGGAGACAATAGAGACCACACAGGTGAGACACCGGTCCCACTCAGGCTACTTCAAGTGGAATGTTTAATAGAACAAAAAAAAGAAACAGGAAAATGCACCCTTAAACTGCAGTGATTCCCGCAAAAATGAAATATACTTTGGGGGAACGACTCGGGGCGGGGGTGGGGGGTCTTTTTTGTGGTCTTCTTTCACACACACATCTTACCAAGTGTGTATGAACATCCTCACAAATCAACAAAGAACATGATCTATATCAAATTTAAGACAGAAAACTCCACACTGGTATCTGATCGTCAATCACCGGATAACTTTATTTTAACTATATACAAACTGGTGACATGTAGGAGCAGGGCTAGTTTTGGTGGGCTACCCAGGCTGAGTGACAAGGTGGCATCCAGGAAACTGAAATTTACAGGTCACTGCCATCGACACCAGGAACTTCCAGCTGGCAAGTTAGTACTCTGGGAGCCAACACACGGGCACCGACCAAGAGGGCGCCCCACGCCAACATACGTGGAGGTGCTGAGGAAGGATGTGGGGGTGGAAAGCTCCACAGAGCTGGCCGGGTGTATGGAGGACCGTGAGGATTGGCGAACCCGTTGGCAAACTCGTCTAAGGACGACCTAGTAGTAGTAGTCCTTGATTGGCTCAAGTTCACACCTTTTTAGGGGCGGGGCTAGTGATGTTGTCCCGGGGATGCTTAGGAGTTGATAAAGGAGATAATCCCACTGACGTCATCATTTGATTCCAAAAGTGGGTCTGGACTCGCGCCCATAGAGGCTGTTTACCAGTATAATGGCTCCCCCCAAAGTATAATTTATGGTTTTTAAAGTTTTTTTTACTCACTGAGCACTCATTGCCACCAATGCAAATGCAAATGAGTGCTCACTGAGTAAAAAAAAAACAAAAAACACACAAATTATACTTTGGGGGGAGCCATTATACTTTGGGGGCCCCCCAAAGTATTAACATGCTGTGGGAATCACTGAACTGAATTTATAGAGATTATGTGAAATCTATAAATATGAATAAAGAAAAGCTGCCTCTCTGAGATGGAAATAAGGTGACTGACTGACTCTGTGGACTCTGCACATTTTGGCTTGTGCCGCTACACTGGGGCAATACAAACCAACCGTAGTAAATCCTTGGCTGCATTTGGTTACATTTTATATTGAAAATGATATTTTGTGAGGTTGACTGAATATTAGATGCACTTTTTGAAATGATACTCTCAGAGCAAGAACAGTTTCTGGAAAGCTTGTTGCGATATATTGTTGACACGTGTATATTCAACAGGACAGGTTTCAATTTGAATGTTGTGAGAATTAAAGAGTTGTTTTATAATGTCCGTGGTGCATTCATGTGATTTTTTATATATACACTTTAGTTTACTTTCACTTTCATGCATTAACTACGTACATTTCCCCTCTGTGGGATTAATAAAGGTATTCTGATTCTGATTATATATTCATTTGCATTTTATGCATATCATCATATTCCTTCTCCACTAAATATTAGTATTAGTGGATTTCTTAATACCATATATATATATATATAAAAATGTGCTCCAGGGCATTTTGATATTTACTTTTACTATTTAAAGTATAATTTCCTGAATATATTTACATCATTTTACTTCAGTATCATTTTTGAATGCAGGAATAATATACTGTTTACTTCATGTATTTTACAGTCCGGTATTAGTACTTTGACGTGAGTAAAGGATCTGAATACTTCCTCCACCACTGCTCATTGTCCCAGCAGTTGTTCCTGTCTCTGAATCAGCTCCAGGATTAAGCTGACATCAGTCTGTCTTCCACCAATCCACAACAAATCAAACTAAAAAGCACATGTTCAGAATGGGAAAGTAAAACATTAAATTACCTGTCAGTAATCCCATTCTGCAGACTGGTTTACAGCCTCAAATCATGATTGACTCAGGACAGCGTGTCAAAGGTCAAGACAAGGCGACACACTCAAGAGGTCATCAACATTCTGATATTTAGTTTTAATGACTGCAGTGATTTTTTGACTTGGCATATATACAGTAAAATGGATGTGATGAAAGAATGCCTCATCTGATAGGAACACTTCCCTTAAAGTGAGAGATGACTTGACGCTCCTAGCAGCGCTCACTAACTGACACTATAACTATCAGTCTAAAGCACTACGGACATTAAGCAGCTCACTTGTAGAAGCTCTTCCGGTCTCCGCCGGGCCCGGACTCGTTCCTGCAGTTCGGTACCGAGCAGTACTTCGGCATTTCCGCGATGCTGTCTGAGGTTCACCCTGTCCAAGTAACTTCACAACAAGGTGAAACTCGTGCAGTGTGTTGTCAACGTGTGGCGCATAGCTGACGACTGGCGATCAGCTGTTCAGATTCATGACGTAAATTAAATGCGACTGTCGTGAGAAAAGCCCCCGGAAAGTACGCCGGACGTTGAAGCCAGTTTTTTGAATGTCCGTAGTGGCCAAACGGTGGCACTACAGCTTCCGTGACGTCATTTTAGCCCAACAATACTTTTACCCATTGATTTACATTGGGAAAGAGACGTATGTAAATCAGCGTATTCTTTTTGAGCTAAATTGACTACCTAGCACGAATATTTGTATAGCCATTATTTTAATCATTGGGGTCTAAGAGTTGTAACATGCGCTAAGAGCTGACTCTTTTCTCTCTTCACTGAGCCGAGAGCGGGAGAATGGAGGCGGGGCTTTTCTGAATTCCTAGTCGCTACATTTTGGGCTTCATGAGCAACTAATCATAGCCATCCTATGATGAAGCTGTATCCCTTTATACATCCATGGTAGTAAAGTTATACACATTGCAGTGTTATAAATCATATGTAGGTGTTTCACTTAAGTAAAAGTAGCAATACAAGTATAAAAGTAAGAGTCACAATATCGCCATAAACTGTTATTGCTCGGGTGGTTGATCCCGCCCCTGCCTCCGACGTAAGCGTGACGCAGGGGCGGACTGGCCATCTATAGAATCTGGAGAACCACAGAACAACAGGTGGTGTTGTACCGTAGGTTGAAGGCTTGCCGCAGATTGAAGCCAGAAGCCCTGTTCGCGGGGACGCGCAACGATGACGTCATCTCGTTTATTGAGCGTTCGCTTAAGCGGAAAAACGAAATAAATGATTTACTTTGTCTCTTTTGAATGATGTATTTCCCATCAGATTAAACAGCAAACGGCTGAATAAATAATGTGCATACAATTACGAGGAGGCTCGTTTTAAGGACACGTTTCAGATCTGTCACAATCTTCGTATTGGAACAAACTTCCATTTGTAAGTGTAGTCCCACTCTGTTATGTTCCTCCTTCCTACAGAACAGAGAATGAAAGGATAAGATGTCATTTGTCAGTATAGTCCTATTTCTTAAAACCTTCTCTGTTGTTTAAGTGTCTGATACTTGATAACCACAAATAGTAAGCAATGATATAACATTAATGACATATAACATATGATAATGTCAGACACTGGGTTATTTTCAATCAAGCCTAAAAGATCATTTGTTCAAACTGGCTTCACTCGCTTGAATTGCTCCTTTGAATGTAATTTTCCTCTGTGGTTTCCAACTCAACACATTTTTGTATTGTAATGCCACTCATATTTAATTTTTATTTTAAGGTGACATTGAATGTTTTTGAAAGGTGCCCTAAAATAAAGTGTAGTATTGATCTTATATCTGTGCCTATATCACACTATTAATGTTCCTTATTTTAGACTAGGTTAATCCTGGTGTCCATAGGGAATATCTGCACTGTTCTCTACACAACATGTTCAGCAGAGCAGGTATTTCTCCTGCCAGATATGGCACCCCCCCTACAACTTTGTCCAGGACAGTCACACCATCACCAAAATCACACTGGTGTTGTCTGTTCCCCTCTAGTTTGTGCTCACAAAAGCATGTTACTCTAGACTCAGCAGGTGCAAAACTAAAGAAGGGCTTCCATATCCGGCAGAGAAGGTGTTGGTGCTGCCGGATTTGGAACCCCCCTTATATCTTTATAGTCACGTCACCAAAATCACACTGGTGATGCTTGTTCCCCTCTAGTTTGTGCTCACAAAAGCATTTTTCCCTGGGCCCAGCAAATGAAATACTAAAGAGATAAATAGAGATTCCATATCCAAATAAGAGATTCCATATCCAGCAGCCACAACACCTTCTCTGCCGGATATGGAAGCCCCTCTTTAGTTTTTCACCTGCTGGGCCCAGAGTAACATGCTTTTGTGAGCACACACTTAGAGACCCCAATGATTAAAATAATGGCTATACAAATATTCGTTCTAGGTAGTAGATTTAGCTCAAAAGGTATACGCTGATTTACATACATCTCTTTCCCAATGTAAGTCAATGGGTAAAAGTATTTTTGGGCCAAAATGACGAAGTGGCAAATACCATAGTAAGGATGGATGACAGGCTAACTTTAAAAAAAAGTGTGATCTACCCACACTACCTTCGACGTATTGGGCACCCCTGTAAAGACCGACAATTGTTTGGTGCTTGCTTGGTAAGCACCAGTTTTCGGTGCTTAGAGCCGGATCTGCTACAGGAACAGGAAAAACCGGAGCTTATCAGGGCTCTAGCTCCGAACCGGCCCTGGAACCGCGTTGGTGTGAAAGGGGCATAAGAGGAACTTAAGTTACTACCGTATATGTATTGCCCATTCAACAGTGAATTTCATCACAGGATTATATTACAATAAAATGTAATTATTGATCATATTTTAGTATTATTATTTTGAAACTCCAAAGTAACCAAAGGCTTTAAATGAATGCATTGAAGGAACAATTAAAATATCTTCCTTTGATAGCAGTAGAAAGATAGTTTCAGAATATGGAAATCCTCTAGTGAAGCACAAGTACTTTAAAATTGTATTTAATTACCTTAATTCAATAAAAGTTACTATCCACTGCTGTACATTTGTGTAGTAAATATAAAAGAACATTGATATAAATAGGGATATTTAAGCCAAACGTGCAGTGCCTGGACACATTCATTTGGGAATCTGGAAGTATCTTGTGTGCTTACTCACCCACAAGCTTAAATTAAAAATGAACCTGAATATAAGCTTGATGTGTCCCCTTCAACATCGTTATAGGTGCTGAAGCAAACCCCTGCCCAAAAGGAAACTATTAGGCAATATTAAATCGCCATAAATAAAGGTCCCAACTTATTTCTAAAATCACTGGACTGGATTTTTTTATTCAATACTTTTTTCCAAACATTACACGGAATCTTTAAATGATACAGTATATATACATACACATCAGTGTACTTCTTTATCTAAAAAGTTGAGGGCCATTAGACAATGCAGCTGTGCGTTTCAAGACAGGATTGCATTTTGGACGTTTGTGTAAATCCACACATGGGTAACCAGGAGTTAAACGAGTACGGGAGACTTAGAGTGCCATCAGTGTTTGCCTTACACCGAAGCTGGTTTAGAGAGTAGACTGTGCGGGAGCTTGTGTGAGTGGCACAATGATGGTGGGGGATGAACACATGGAGAGCAGCAATATCTTCCTCAACAGGAAGCAGTGCAAATTAAATGTTACCAGCTACACGACCGAACCAACTAAATACACTACTAATGGCAGACATCACCTTTAAGAGTGTACCCAGAGACAATCAAACTATTTGAACTGGGGTCAAACATCTAATTACTTTTGTATTTGAAACTGTGAAATAAAACTTGAAGCGACACTGTAGGGTAGTTAGAGAAACACTAATAGACATGCTGCTCTTAACCCAGTTAACAATCCTCTGAGCTGTGTACACAGGCCAAAAGCACAATGCTAGTTTTCAGAGTCACGAGACACAGTCCTTGTAAAAACTGAACAATCAATTTCATTACAGATCTTTGGTACATATCAGCTTTTTGATCCCATCTGCTGAGTGTATCGAATATTTTTTTTAAACCAAGCAGCTCCAAGGAGACTCATCTGAAAGGTTCTTACCAGGTGATGGAACACATGAGCGAATGAACAACCGAGGTGGAGATTTTTTCCAGTTTTAACTGATAACATGAAGGAACAGAGCCAGTTCTGGACTGGTGTGAGTGATCTCTTCCATCTGAACTACGCCACATTATTTTCTATACACAACTAACTGAAGTTTGTCGGTGGGGAGAGGGATCCCGTAGGGCTAATCATGAGCATGTCCGAGCACTTTAGGGAGTGTAGAGTGGTGGCTGGGATGGTTCAGGTCAGATGGGAGGTCTTCAGTGTCACAGACAGGTTAGCACGGCCTCTACATCATCCCCATCTGCATTAGCGAGTTAGCATACGCCATGGGCTTGACATTCGGATGAGGCTGTAAAGGAGAGCGAGACAACCATTAGATAAAGCTTCAACAAGATAAATAAGCTTAAAAATAAATCATTAATAGCCTTTTGCATAGTTAACCTACACACAGAGGTCATTTATCGGTTTTTACAGTGTTTCATTAACTCAGCCAAGAACGTTTTTATTGTCCGTTTGTAAGAGAATCTGTCAAACGAATACGGCAAAACTACCGAACGGAATTATTTATATTTAAAAAAAAATAAAAATGTATTCTCTTGCTGTATCGTTTATAGTAAATGTATATTAATTTAGAGTTATTCAAATTAATTTAAGTTGTTTTTTATGCTTTTATTTTGAGGCCAGCTTTGGACAAGCGTGATCAGTTATTTATTAAATGTCATTGTACTCTAAGATATTGGATCATTGGAATAAACTGCACAAAGATGATGTTCTTGCTTGGACTTTGGATCTTTTCCATTTGTAAGTTTCGCTAGCTAGTGCCTCAGCAGTATTTTTCTATGTTCAATTTCTGTTTTATTTCTTTATAATTTTGCCGCTAAAACTGATTTTCAGAAAAACTTGGAAGGGCCAAGAACGAACCCATTGCAATTTAGAGTTGATCGAAATCATAGAACCAATACACAATTTACACATTCTGAGCAACAAAATACAACATATCTTCTTTGTGACGTCCATGTTGTTTTCACATAACGACTTCCATTACATTAACACACTAAACTGTGAATACAACTTTCCAAATTGGGGTAAAAGGACCGCCTGAGGAGCAAGTGAATGCACCATAAGCCTTGGCCGAGGTATGAACAAGTGGCAAAATATTCATAACTGAAATGGCTTTGTAATGTGTCATTACAACTGAAGTTTAGAATAGGTGAACTGCTTAGTTAGAATTAATACAAATCCAAGTTAGCTAAGTTAAAGCTAAGGTAATTGGGTCACTCCGGACCAAATTAAACCAAACTCTTAGTAAATGGCACTATAATAATATGCTGAGGGCTAACCCAAGGTTCAAAATGTTTACAATGACATTCTTGGGTAAATTATTAACAAAAACAAATAATGATAAAAGATAGTAACATATGACCCATATAACAACATTTATAAACAATTTTAATAAATACAAGAGTTTAGAGTGCAGGATACTGACAACAGCAGTGAACTGGTGAAATTCTGGCTTGAGATCTGATCCCCTGAGGTGGATGTATGCTCCTTTGTTTCCCATCTGATCACTGGGGGAAGGCAGAAGAAACAGCAGTTAAAGTAAGCAGCTTTAATAACAGCTGAATCGACACTCAAGTTAGCCGGTAGGAGTACGTACCAGTAGTTGGGTGCCGAGAACACGGTGATGCACTTCCCTGAGTGAGTGACCTCGTAGCCCTCAGTTTTGACCTCGTGACTTCGCACGATGAAGTCCAGCTTATTCTGTTCAAGGAAACGCTCCGTCACATCCGGCCCGAACTGACAGCTCACTCCTCGCTTGCTGACTGACCGGCCATTCTGCATGACGGAGAGAGAGGTGGAACATTTATGTTTATCAGACACAAACCACTGGATACTTGGAGCAAAAACACCTAATGAGGTGTTGGGTGGGTGGGAACCAGTGTTAGAAGTATTCACATCCTTTAATGTAGAAAAAGGATCATTTAAAAAGTAATTCATGACAAGTAACAGTCCTGAATTTAAAAACATAAATAATATTACATTTATTTCATCATGAAAACAAGCAACAGTCGCAAACCTACATTCCTACGGAATGGAGTATTCGGATTTTGAAAGATAAGAGACAAACATATGCATGTTAAAAAATGTACTACTACTAAACAGGTTCAATTAAAAAAGTACAATAATTCCCTCTGAGATGCGGTAGATTAATAATGGAAAGCAGAATAAAAGAAAATACTCAAGTAAACTACAAGTATGTCAAATGTACTTTCCAAATGTGTTAAGAGACTGACCTGAGGCTGAGGATCCGACCAGAGGAGGTCACACATGGGACCTGTGGGGGAGAGATGTTGAGATGTTGCATAAAGATGGTTATCAGTGGCAGATGGTGGGTGGGTGTTTGTGTTTACCTGAGTCTGGGGGCTGTCTGTTCCTTTCAACCTTCCTGAGGTCTTCCAGTGTCACACCATCTTCACTGAACAGTCCACCATGCATTACCTGGGGAGGAGACTCAAATCAGGACTGGTTGCACAATAGGGCTGCACGGTATTGACATCGCGATTTCCCCCCCCCCCCTGCGGTATATATTGCGGTCTTTTTAACCTGTTAAACCCCAAAATCCCGCCGGGTACTTTACTTTTTTTTTTCACGACAGTGTCTCAGGGGATCGTAATATTTAAGAACCTATTAATGTGTTATACCAGATTAACGGAAATAATCTCAGCTAACTGACGATACAAACCATTTTATACCAAAACAAAAACACAAGTCTCATAAGAAGCATCTAAATGACCCCTGAGCGAAAAATGCTAACACACTTTGGCACAGAACTCAAGATAAAAGTACCCTTATTACTTATCGTAGCTGCACTTACAAGATATCCGATTAAAGCTGAGGTTCCACAGATTATTTAGGTATATAGTATCATCACTGAGTGATCTGAACTCGGACAGGGGAAGCAAACACAGACATCACAACACGTACCTTTACGTAGCTTCTAGGGGAGATGTCTCACCGTAGCTGTCAATCTGATCAAAAGACGTGTTCAATGGCATTAAAACCAGAAAAAACGCGGCTGAATCGGTTAATCCATAGGTTTTTAACGTCTCTGTATAAAAAAATTATTTCATTTATAATCCATAATTCAATTTTTATGTAAAAATCGCAGAGCAAAAGTTAGCTGCTAATGGTAGCCACCAGAGTAGCTAATAATGGTAGTCACCAGAGTGGCTGCTGCTTCCGGTCTGGGCTATGCGGCAGTTAGGGCTGTAGCGATACACTAATCTCACGATACGATACACGATATTCAGCTCACAATACGATATATATCACGATATTCAGCCAACGATACGATTCGATTCAATATAATTCGATACACTTATATCATTTTCTGAAAGATTTTAAAGGGACAGTGTGATTTTAGTGACATCTTGTGAGTGTTCCATTGACTTGGATTGAATTAATTCAACTGAAAACTGAAAGCATCAATTATACAATATATGGCTCTGACAGAGAGTCTACAGCTTGCAAATGCTGGACAAAATTAATCAAAAGATGTGGTGAGAAAATTAGTTTCATTTATTGAAACAGTGCAAACTGTAGCTGACAAGCCTTTGAAACGTAAGTACATAAAGTGCAGTATCACAATGGACAATGGAGAATTAAAAGGTGCAGCAGGTGGCGGAACACGGGGGATTTGAATGGGACTTGTTAGAAATTAAAATCAATGTTTTGATGGCATAAAGTACCTTAAACATACCGTCAGTTTAAATGCTGTTTTATACTAAAAAACCAGAAGTTCTTGTGCACAACCAGTTGTTAAGCTTTTATTCTGAAAATCCTTCATCTCCGGTTAGCATTTAGCATGTGGCTAATATACCATTTACTATAGAGGTGAATTTAGTAGCGATATGACACGGAGTGTTGCACACCGAAACCTACTGATTTCAACACTACAACTATAGACGTCGAGATATTATTATTGCTGAATATTAAATGAAGGTACAGTTTATTTGAATACATTTGTTTACAGACGTGGGTAGCATGAGACAACATCCGGAACTACCGGAAATGATACCAGCCGTGAAGTATTTTTGGAGTATTGATTACAGCGTTTAAAATGTATTAAATGAAAAGTCATGAAAGAGATAAGGAGGAGAAAAGGCGTGTTTAGTTATATATTTAATGTACAATGTCTGAATCCTCTGTAATGCGCAACAACGAACATTGGAGACGTGGAGGGCCGGCCCCCAGCAGCGCCAACCGGCCCACAGGGAGGAGCCAGCAGAGGATATTTAACAGCTGGAAAGGTGGAGCTCGCTCTCTTCCCTTCACTCATGAGCCAGAACACAGCTGTTTTTCTGACTGAACCATCTTCTGCTTGTAACATTACCGCGCTTTTTATTAATTAAAGTATACATTTGAACCTTCTCAGAGACTCAATCAGTCTCCTTTTTAAAGCTTCTCTCCTGGACGCGAGAATAACGAACACAGTTATCAGACTTAATGTATCGATACCCGCGGCTGAAATATCGATACTTTCTCGGAAAACTAAATATCGATATATATCGCAGGATCGATTAAATTGCACAGCCCTAGCGGCAGTCCACACACACATTACCAAATAAGGAGTGAGAGTGACAAGTAGCCAAAACCGGAAGCTGCATACACTCTGGCAGAGGTGTGGACTCGAGTCACATGACTTGGACTCGAGTCAGACTCGAGTCACACATTTTATGACTTGAGACTCGACTTGACAACATCACAAAAGACTTGCGACTCGACTTGGACTTGAACACCAATGACTCGGGACTTGACTTGGACTTGAGCCTTCTGACTTGAGGTGACTTGCTACTTTAATTCAGAGGTCTCCAACACGCCGATCGCGAGCTGCCGCTAGAAGAGCAGACTCCCGTCGGGGAGAGCAGAATCTTCAGCCGCTCCTACTCTTGCTGAGAATCCTTGCAGGCAGGGGCGGGTCTTTATTTAGGGGCCACCATGCGGCCAATCATATGCGAGGACACACTAGGATCATACCATTATGTGAAAGAAGGGTAGGGGGCACAACATGTGTAGTGGTACAGGCCAGCTGCACAGAGCGACGGGGTGACGGGGAGCCGGATTTAAATGCAAGCGCGTCGGAAAAAGTCAAGAAATGAGCGAAAACCGAAAAAAGAAGCAGCATCTGGCTGCTTTTCAATGATATTGGAGAAAGCAAAGCTGAGTGCAGGATTTGTAAAAATGAAAATAACCTTCAGAGCAGGGTTTTTTTTTGGTAACCACTCAGGATTTATTGTCAGAGGTGGGAGAAGTTCAGACAATTAAAAAAAAGTTACAATCAGGGTTCCCGCGGAGTCATAACAAGTCTTAAAAAGGTCTTAAATATGATTCAGAAGGTCTTAAAAATTATCGGATTTGAAAGGTACTTCTATGTTGCGATAGCGTCTAAATGTGTTTTGGGGGAAATGTCCGAGCTGCAAAGTAACCAGTACGGTAACAGCCTTTCAGTTCCCCCCAACAATTTGTATTGAATTAAATCAACATGGAACCAGTAATCACTAACTTTGTTTCCCCCGGCCCCTTATTGGAGAACACCCAGCTAGTAACCTAGCAACCAAGCTTCAGCTCATGTAGCCTATCTTCGAATCTACTTACAAATAAATATGGGGAAGTGTAAGTTCAACCGTATTTGGTTGGAAAACATCTAATTTAGTGATTGGTTGAAACCAGTGGAGGGAACGTGTTTGAAGCCCGCTGCACCTTTTGCAAAATAAATTAGCGTTTGTTTTGCTAATGTAGCGTTAGCTAGTGCAGCAGCAGCTATTGCAGCAGCTCCCGCAACAACACAGGGGGACCTCCGGGCGAAGTTTGGGTCTACGTCAACCCTAAAAGCGGAGGTGCTGTAGACGCTAAATACCGCAGCTAAACACCAATCATACAACAGCAACGATGAAATAGTGTAGCCAAGGCAGCAGAGCTCTGAATATAGCTCTTGTCACTCTCTCTCAGAGACACACACACACACACACACACACACACACACACACACACACACACACACACACACACACACACACACACACACACACACACACACACACACACACACACACACACACACACACACACACACACACACACACACACACACACACACACACACACACACACACACACACACACACACACACACACACACACACACACACACACACACACACACACACACACACACACACACACACACACACACACACACACACACACACACACACACACACACACACACACACACACACACACACACACACACACACACACACACACACACACACACACACACACACACACACACACACCACACACACACACACACACACACACACACACACACACACACACACACAGGGGCTGCTCGATTATGGCAATAATCAAGATTATGTTGGTCAATAATTAATATCACGATGATTAAATATGATTATTCATTGACTTTGAAAACATCCATTTATTGAACTTTAAAACAGATAATAATTTGAACAGTATCTTTTTAACTGTTGATTACCCTGAACGTATAATTCAACTGAAAAACCAATACAAAAATTAATTAAATAAATGATAAATTACTAAAAAATTCATTAGATCAAATATGTTGTAGTGCACTGTCACAACCTAGCAAAGCAAAATAATCGTTTTTTCCGATTATGTTGTTTTCGTAATTGTGGCAGGCCAAAATCGTAATTGCGATTAAAATATGATTAATTGCACAGCCCTAACACACACACACACTCAAGCACACACATACACACTTTTTGTCTAACACGCTAACACAGTTCTGTACTGTTACGCTGTTGTGTTCAGTCATTGTTCTTATGTTGAACATGAATACATTTACTTTGTAAGTGATTATGGGACGTATTTCTTCTTTATATACATTTTCCTTCATACTTTATTGCCGTGAAATAGGTCTTAAATTCTATTCAAAGTGGTCTTAAAAAGGTGTTAAAAAGTCTTAAATTTGAGTTGGCGAAACCTGCAGGAACCCTGTACAATAAAAAGTCCTGCATTCAAAATGTTACAAGTAAAAGTACAAAAGTATTATCATCAAAATATAGTTAAAGTCCCACCTGCAGAGGGATCTAGATGCAGGTGTTCTTTTCCCCATAGAGACCGCCTCGCTGCACATTATCCCTTGCATAAAGATAGATTGTGGGTCCCTTATAACATGTTGTACACAGTGGAAATAAACATTCTGGTTACCTCAACATCAGGGATCTTATACATTAAACTCCTTCTGAATCAAACCGTCACGGTAGCCTTACCTTACTGATCCCTCTTAAATTAGAAAAACACACGTTACTTTACCAGCAGAGAGAAAATTGATTATTAAATTATTAATGTGACTAATAAAGAGCAATTTGATTATTAAGTATTATTCTGTTGATCAATGTCATTACATTTGGTGAAAAACACATAATGACTTGTTTATGACTCGTTTTGTCAAAGTTTAGGACTTGACTTGACTTGAACTTGCCCATCCTGACTTGAGACTTGACTTGGACTTGAGCGCAAAGACTTGAGACTTGACTCGGACTTGCAAAACAATGACTTGAGACTTGACTCGGACTTGAGCGCAAAGACTTGAGACTTGACTCGGACTTGCAAAACAATGACTTGGTCCCACCTCTGCACTCTGGTGGCTACCATTAGCAGCTAACTTTTGTGCTCCGATGTTTACATAAAAATGGAATTATGGATTATAAACAATTGCTTCAAAGCCACAGATACTTTATCAACCTATGGATCAACCGATTCAGCCGCGTTTTTTCTTTCTCGTTTTAATGCCATTGAACACGTCTTTTGATCAGATTGACAGCTACGGTGAGACGATCTCCCGTAAAAGCTCCGTAAAGGTACGTGTTGTGATGTCTGTGTTTGCTTCCCCTGTTGCAAGATCGGATCGCTTAGATACTATACTTAAATAATCTGTGGAGTCTCAGCTTTAATCGGATATATTGTATGTGCAGTTTCGATAAGTAATAAGGGTATCTTTATTTTTGAATTCTGTGCTGAAGTGCGTCAGCATTTTTTTTATTATTAATAAAACCGCACGTCCCTGCGGTGTGAATACCACGCATGCGCATACCGCGGTTATCGCCATGACACGGTATATCGTTCAGCCCTATTGCACAATATAAAACATTAAACCACTGCAAAAATAATTGACAGCAGTCATCTGTAAAATATGGGTAGATCATGGCTGTGACCCACTAGTGATCATTTCGCTAGCTTAAAATCTGAATCTCCACAACTCTTTCCCCCTCAAATTCAAAGAGGCTTTAATGGCACGACTTGAAACAGTGCTGTTTAAATGAGTTTAAAACCTGGTAATGAGTTAGCATTTTCCTACTTCGGGTTCCCTCATCTCAAAAGTTAACAATTTTTTATCTTTTTGTTAGACGCTGTGCTTAACACTAGCTCAAGAGATTTTATTTTTGTTCTACGACAAAAAATATGTCAGTAAAACACTGGTGAAAGTCTGAACAATATACGTAAAAAAAACAGCGGTTGCTATGAAGAGACTGAATGAGATTACTAAGCGTCATCAAAGCTAACAGTAGCCTCAAATATAGCTCAAGGGAGGTAATGTGAAGTCATGCAAACGTAATGTAGATTGTTTCTAGCATCAGGTTAGCTTTTAACTTCTGGGATTTGCAATGATGCTTAAAAAAAATCATCATAAAAGTGGAGTTAACATATGGAGATTCTTCAGTTTAACAAAATATAAAAGTATCAAACGTTTGTTTGCTGCAGGGCTAATTTTCTGCTATATTCTCCAATATAAAAACCCCATTGCTTTTTTAAGGGAGCACTTGCCAAAGTACATTGTACAAGGTGGACCCATCACACAGCGCTGCCTAGTCCGTCTCTGTCTCTTTCTTCAGTCCTGACAATTATGCTACTATTATGCATAAAGTTGGTTGGGATGCATTTTTTATGCATATTGCAATGTTTTTCAAAACAGGTGGGTGGGTGCGACTGGTGACCAGTGAGCTGGATTGTAAATAATTTAACCTGCGTTTGACAAAATCCTCTCTGAAAAATGACACTGACACCTGACTTTGGAAGCAAGTTATCAAACAGAAAGTGGACCTGGTGAACAATAACAACAACAACATGATTGCACGGCCTTGTGCCTGCATGGAGCTCACACTGCCACTGCTTACCAAGACTTTGCTGTTGATACACTGTGCCAGAGGCAGCCACTGGAACACCTCGCTGAACAGCTGGAACATCTGGGCTGTGTACTTGGCTTTGACCTCCCCTTCAAATCCATACATCTGGTTCATGTTGTCCGTCTCGTGGTTACCTGCGTGTAAAAACCCTTATTAGACAACCCTGTTCAACGCTCAATAGAAAGAATGTAATGGAACACAAAAAAAAAACAGAAATGTCTATTAAATAAATACCAGTGACATTTAACTGTATGACAAAACACATGACTTATTATGTGACTTAGTTGAATACTTGAGTCGTATTAGTCAAATTGGACATTCTAAGGAAGCTGTGATCAAGGAACTTTGCGCTGTCACTTCCATCTGCAGATAGAAGTCCGGTCAATTTAACGCAAGCAAATAAACAACAATAGTTTTCCTTCATAAGAAAACAGGTTTTTAGGTCATGTTTCTGTCGTTGCAGTTCCAGCCGGATAATATGCAGGGAGCCGATCATAATATCAAAAGGGTGATTTAAAAACCTGTTGGGGTTCCATTCGCTATAATGAGCGGCTTCCCGATAATATCCCTTTCACGTTACATCACACGTGCAAACACTACACAGTACACATGCATCCATAGACTCATGCACAATGTAAGTGCTCTCACCCCGAAGCAAGAAGAAGTTGTCGGGGTGGAGCAGCTTGAAGCCAAAGAGGGTAAGGATGACCTCGAGGGAGAAAGAGCCACGATCTACAAAGTCGCCGTTGAATAGCTGAGTTCTGTGGTTAAGCATTACAACACACAAGTATTGAGGATTCTACCTGTAGTTATTTTAAACACAGAATATTAGAAACGAGGAGGACTGCAAGCACAAATGTAGATGAAAAAAGGATACATAGGGGTTGGTCTCTGAGGGTAAGCCGTTCAACTTGAAGATGTTGAGAAGATCGTAGTATTGTCCATGGGTGTCTCCACAAATTGTTATCTTCTCTGTCTGTGGCAAAGAAACATAACATTCTGAACTTTGTGACACTAACAGCCAAGTCCTATTATGGACTGATCAAGAATAGAAGTCTACGGTTGCTTTGTTGTACATAACACATTAGCAACTTTTAGTTCCTTCCCTTATGGTTATTTGCAGAGTCCTCACCTCTTTTAACGTGATTTCGACAAGACTTGGTAGTTTTGATAGAAGATCTTTAACTTGCACCAAAATCTGAAAAAGTATGAAAAGGTTTAATTACAAGAACAAGTTGACATCAGTTAGTATGTTTCATATAAGCAAACATGTTTACCTGATAAGCACACTTTCTGTGCAGCTTCTTCTGGTCTTTGAACCAATCCATCATGTCCTTCATGAACGTCTCTGTGACCTTCCCATCCTCAAGTTTGGGGCCGTCATAGTCATCCTCAATGGCTGCAATATAAGATTGTCTTCATGTCAGAGGAAAGTATATAGATGTGCAGTAAAGAATCAAATGTTTTACACAATCTTAAATTTACTTTTGTTAACAGCACCAATTTGATTGAGGCACATTTCTATTACAGATGAATACTATTAAACATTTGTTCAACTCACTCATGCTTTCGATGTCCAGAGAGTCCACAACAGATTTTTTGATCTCATCGCTGGCAATGGCTCTCTCAAAAGCCTTCTGTTTTACAATCTTGTTACATTCCTGATACTTCATTTTTGCATCCTTGTCATTTGGTCGAACTTTCACTACCTATGGTACAAACAGGGAATTTAAATAAATGAACCACACTGGTTAATCATCAACTGGCAGATAGGGGGCAATTGACTCAGGGGCACTGCAAAGACCTGCATGTAAACAGTAATACAAGTTTATTTCAGTTTTAATGCCTCAATACAAAATTAATATATAATAAAAACAATTCCCAGTCGGTCACTCTAATATCCTGTACATCTATAAATACAAATACATCTAGCTCCAACCTCTCATAAGGATTAACTCTTGTTTTGTGGGTGTGGAATAAATTGCTCTCACTATGGCTGAGCTTTGGAGATCTTTGTTGCCGTAGCCGGTAGGGGTGTAACGGTATACGTACCGAAATTATTCGGTATGGGCAATTCGGTTCGGTACACAACACGTGTGTACCGAACGAATATAACGTTAAGCGTAAACAATTGAGAACGTGAACAACTTCTTGGAAGTAATCTCAGGTGCTGCGTCCCAGCATTCAGAGTAATTTGCGTCAGAGCGACCAAGTCATTTCATTGGACGAGAGGCATACTGTGAGAGCTGGTCACAGGGATGCGTTCAAATGTAGTCAGTAATTTGAGGAAATGGCGAACGCAGATAAAGTTGAGCTGAAAATCCTCCAGCATCATTGAAGTCTCCGGTTTGGGAACATTTTGGTTTCGCAGTTACGAACAAGGATGACGGACCGAACCAAAGCTGTTTGTCGGCATTGTTCAACTAACATTGGTTACGCGGCTGGCAATACCTCAAACTTGCACACTCATTTGAAAAGGCATCACCCGAACGTGAATATCACCGGTACCAAAAGAAAAAAGACTGAAGTGCAAACCCAACTCTCACTAGCATGTAACCCTCCACCACTCGCAACAAGTTCAGACCGAGCCCAAGCTATTACAAACGCCAAATATCCTTATGTTGCCATGTTAGCAAAGCGCTACCTGGCTGTATCTGCTACCTCTGTCCCTAGAGAGAGGGTTTTCTCCACAGCAGGAGACATTGTTAGTGCCAGCAGATCTGCCCTTTCGGCAAGCAATGTGGACAAGTTAATTGTTCTTTAAAAAAACATGAAAATACAATGACAAGCAAGTCACAATGTCAAACTGGCTGCTTAGGAACAGTACAGTTCAAATACAGATTATTTCAGTTCATTGAAATGCTGCACCTTAATGTTTATTTTATTTTGTATTTATTTGAGTGAATACATTATTCACAATTTAATAATAATTAAATAACCCTAAAAAATATTTTATGTTTGTGATAACATTTTCTGCTGTACCGAAAACGTACTGAACCGAACCGTGACCTAAAAACCGAGGTACGTACCGAACCGAAATGTTTGTGAACCGTTACATCCCTAGTAGCCAGGTATATTTATATTGCTTATTATGAGAACCGCACATAACACAATGGACAAAAAATGATCTATGCCTTGGAATGATTGCCATCAAACTCAAAACATTTGGCATTATGACTGAATTAAATTCAGGGTGACAGATTAACAGGCAGGCAAACATCCAATTATACCCATTTAAGATATGGCAGTTCAATGTGTACAGATACTAAAAGTGAAGTATGATATATTTCTTACCGTATCATAGTCCTTAAGTGCAGCCTTGAACTTCCCCAGTGCCATGTTGGAAGTGGCGCGGCGGTAATACCCCTTGATGTAGTTTTTGTCTATCTCCAGGGCCTTAGTGGCATCAGCCAGGGCATACCCGTAGCACTCTGTGCGCAGGTATGCCAGGCTGCGGTTGCTGTAGTAGACGGCATTGGTTGGATTGACCTCCAAAGCCTCCGAGTAGTACTTGATTGCATTTTCATAGTCTTTTTCTGAAAAACAAAATGTGAAAATAAATATTCACTGTGTGGTTTTTTCAATATGTCAAAATGAAATATGTCAGAAAGATCTGCACAGCCTATTTTGTGCACTTTGGGAAAAATATATCACAGAAATCACAGTTTGCCTACGACGAAGAGGCAGTGGTGGTGCCAATCTATGCAAACATTACAAGGCTACAAATGCTAAGTAGCCAATCACAGCCATGATGACACATTCTTTTTTCATTCCCACTCTGTTTGGCAAATGTAATCGCAAAATATAGCATTTTGTACTGTCGACAGTCAGAATGCAGAATGTGATTTTTCTGAGCGAAGAAAGGTTTGACTCATGGATGATTTTATTACTACCCACTTTAGTGTACTTAATGGCATACATTGATTTTTGAATGTGTAAGTCAGTTATACATTAAACACTAGATAATGAACAGATAATATTCTTGTTTTTATCAGCAGACAACACACTAAAATCAGGTTTTGTAGTAAACTCAATATCATTATTTGTTTTGCTACGTTTTCTTTCTGTGTCTTTGTATGCACCATATATAGCAAAGCAAATTCCTCTTATGTGTAAACCTACTTGTTAATAAAACTGATTCCGATTAAACTGCCATCATTCTTTGTAGTTTGACATGACAATCTTTCTGACGTGAAGGATAAATACCTTTGATATCGGGAAAGGTGATAACAAATGTACACTTCTGTTGCCCCTTGACTAGGAGTCACAATGAATCTTCCCTTTCTCAGCTCTGACTCATAAGTGTACCTTGTAATGCCTGGCCTTTAGAAACTACAACAGGAAGTATGTCGAGAGAAATGATCTATACCAGGGGTAGCCAAGACGGTGCCCGCGGGCACTCAGTCACCCGCAGGGGCAACGTGAGTCGCCCGCGGGGCATGTTCTAAAAATAGCTCGCCAAGCAAATCCAAAATGTATAAAATACACAAAAGGAAATGTAATTAAAAGAATCTACCCATAAAGGAAACCTAAATCATAGCGAACTCTATCTACTTACTACAACTCTATATCTATCTAACACCCCTCCTCCCCCACAATGAATATCGACCAATCACGTTCTTGCTTGATTTGCGGCACCAGCGTTGCAGTCGGGAAGAAAAGCAATGTGGCCCCTCCCCGCTGATGTTCCTTCTGGCAGAAAACATCAGCCCCATTGAACAGCCTATAGTGCCAGCCTATACAACACATGAGGGGCAGAGTTTTACTCTGTGTGTTGTAACTAGCATATATATTTATTGCACTTGATGCACACACACGCATGGCGTAATCTCCACTGGGGACAGGGGGGGGGACATGTCCCCCGCACTTTTCGAAATCCCGTTTGTGTGCCCAACTTTACAAATATGTGTATTATTATTTTTTAACGCAAGCCGTCATCGCCACGGAGGAGCACACAGCCGAGAGAGAGAGCACTTTTATCTATTTAATGTAGATAAAGTAAGAAATAATTCCAATGTGTACTATAGTACAGTACAAACAACAGTTTAAAAGGTGAATGATTAGTAAAATATGCATAAATAAAAAGAAAGAATGCTAACTACACTGAACAAAAATATAAATGCAACACTTTTGTTTTTGCTCCCATTTTTCATGAGATGAACTCAAAGATCTAAAACATTTTCTATATACACAAAATAACCATTTCTCTCAAATATTGTTCATAAATCTGAAAAAATCTGTGATAGTGAGCACTTCTCCTTTGCCGAGATAATCCATCCCACCTCACAGGTGTGGCATATCAAGATGCTGATTAGACAGCATGATTATTGCACAGGTGTGCCTTAGGCTGGCCACAATAAAAGGCCACTCTGAAACAGAATATTGTTGTTCTATTTTTAGACACATCTCGCGATCGACTGGGAATCTCCCCGCGATCGACTGGTTGGGCACCCCTGCGGGCCTAACCATATCATGTATCATTACAACATAACCATTCTGCATATTGAGTGTTTCAACGGATATTTTGATGCATATACATTGTACTTTATTTGTTGTAGTTAAAAGGTTTTGTATTGCTCTTTTTTCCTCATGCTTGCCTGGTTATTCAAACAATGGTGTTTTTTATTGTTGTATTTTTCATATGTTTGTTGTAAAGCAATTTGTAACACTAGCGCTATAGATAGACACGTTATTATCTTTGGCGTATTGTTATATCAACTGACTGGAGATTTAATTGTAACAGAGTATATTATGATTTATTGCTAATTTGACATCAAGTATTTCAGTTATTACTGTAAAACTGATCATTTAACAAATTCTTAAAACAAAACGGAGGAACAAAATGTAACACATTTTTAAATACCGCCTAATAAGAAGTGGACACTTAAATATGTCAGTAATATTTGAACGCTACCATAATGCGCATGCTTTAACCGAGGCTCAGGTGCTGCTCACACGCGCCCGTTTGCTAACTTCTAGAATATTCTAGTAAATGTATCTGAATCTCACTTTAAACTACATAGGACACTGATAAAAAAACACAAGAGTGAATACAACATGCCAGAATCATATATAAAGTGCTAAATCCTAGCATGTTAGCAGTGCACTTCACACGAAACACGTGACGGCATGGGTTTACATCGATGCTGCTGTACTGGCTGCTAGCTAGCGTTAGCAACTAACTCCAATTCAGTGCAGCCTAATACAATGAATGGGGTTTACAGCTAGCATGCTTTTAGAGCAGTGTTAGCTTAGCTCATCATAAGCAACCGGCAACTGTTCGGGGACCCTGTTTTCACACCTCTATGTCACTACTGTAATCAACAGTAACACATGTGTCTATTAAACCCAACTGATATAATCCATTGACTTGACAGGCGTGTTGTATTACCTTTAAAGTACTTATTCGCCTTCTCCTTCAGCAGCTCTGCATCATTACCTCCCTCCGCCATCTTCTTCTCACTGCCGTATTCCGATCCGTACGCCATTGACTGCACGGTCGTAAAGGTCGCAAAGTGTTTCTTCTTTTTTTGGCTCAAAATAATAAGGTTAACTGTAAATGATAGAAAACCATTATGCTGCAGAAATATTAAATATATGGACATTTGATGCTTCATTTATCATTTTAGTCGTAAGAAATATGTATGAAAACACTATGGGTTACACAATAAATATCCTACACGATCCTACAGTATAAAATAAATAATGCACAGTGTTATTACAAGTAATGTACATTATGAATTGATTATATATTATATATAATTGTCAGTGTCAGTGTTATACATGTTATTGAAATGTAACGGCTACTTGAAAAACACAGCTTGCACTGTGCTAAAAAAAAAAGTAATATAAAGAAAAGAAACAGAAATATAAATAACTTGGTTCAGATTTTGTCAATAAATAAGCCGAATGCAAAACAATACTACATTTGAGTTTGGACTTTGAGTCGTGGCTGAACCTGTCACTGTGGTCCTGCCTGACTCTCATCATACTACTTCCCTGATGGCTCCCACAGCATTGTTGACATCCTTATGGATTCGTCTTCTTATTATAGACACATGAATTTCCAAACATTTGGACTACCTATGTTGTAAAATGTATTATCTCCTCAATTTACACCCGACATCTATTGCACGTCTGTCCGTCCTGGGAGAGGGATCTCTCCTCTGTTGCTCTCCCTGAGGTTTCTCCCATGTTTCCCTTTAAACTGTGGGTTTTTTCCGGAAGTTTTTCCTTGTACGATGTGAGGGTCTAAGGACAGAGGGTGTCGTATTGTCATACTGATATTCTGTACAAACTGTGAAGTCCACTGAGACAAATGTAACATTTGTGATATTGGGCTATTAAAATAAACATCGATTGATTGATTCCCTTGATTGTGGCTGTGTTTTGTGTTTCCCTTTCTTATAAGAATGTTGGTGTCCAATAAGTGTGTATATCAGAAGTAAAGTCTGTGGGGATAGGTTCTGAGACTGTAAGATAAAGACGATGACATTTCAAAGATGAAAGTAGAAAACACCAAGCAGGATTATTTTCATTTGGTTTGGTTCTCTTTAGTTTATTACCAGCAGGGGTCAGAATACACCTTCACTGAAATGTCCATGATATTAAGCAGCGTAACCAGTTTGTTTAGACTGCTAATAGAGTGAACCACACTCATAGGGGTTAACCAGAGAATACTTCAGATAGTGAGTCATTTGTTACAATTGAATCATTAGTTCAATATTAGGTACATGACTCATGTTGGAGCCATTTTTCCAAAAATAAGACTTTAATTTACTAAAGTCTCTGACTTAACCTCAATAATATTCCAATAAATTAAAACACAGGCTTATGAAACAAAAGTACAGCCATTGCCCCAATGCCTTTGATCGTAATCCTGATGCCTCAAGGCTTGATGATGTCGAGGAAGTTTCCTGCCTTCATCTGAATGCAGCAAACTGGCAGGACACCACAGATATGCCAATATCAGAATCAGAATACCTTTATTAGTCCCACAGAGGGGACATTTGCATCGTTACAGCAGGAAAGAGCCACAGACAGCTTACTGTTACATTATGTTAAAAAAAAGTACTAAGTTATGATATAATAAAATATATATATGGGGACAAACATGGCACAGGTGCACATCTCCACAACTTTACTCACCGACACATGGCATCTGACGCACCCTAGCCCTCAAATAACTAGTTTGCAAAAACATCATGCAACCTTAAGTAGAAACACACCAAAGCTAAAGCACCTTTCCTCTGCCTGAAACTCTACACTGTTTGTATTAAAACAAAAAGTGCTGCGGTCAGTGCAGGAGAGGGACATTTGTCTTGTGTGAAGGAAAAGGCTAACCTTTGAAATGTAGGCTTGCGGCTTGGCGTGTTTTGGTTTTAGATGGTTAAGGGTTAGAAGTTCAACATAATGAGAGACGTTCAAGAGAAGCATGTGACACAGAGGATACAGCCCAGTCCAGTCTGCAGGCTTGACTCACAAGCGGTGTCCCGCAGTGAGGAGTAAGAGACCACGCAGCCGGGTGACTCAGTGTGACCCCTGAAGAATACTTACCAGGGAGTGAGTTCACTTTCTCTCAGCAAGATGAGTCGCCCTCTTTCTCTGAGCCACTACACGTCTAGCTCTGTGATGGTCTAACCCCGCTGTGGTGTTCATGCCACATTTGCCCAATGTTTTACACAGTGGTGTAAAGTAGATTAAGTACATTTATTCAAGTACTGTACTTAAGTAAAATGTTATGCTACTTTGTACTTCTACTCCACTACAATTCAGAGGTAAACGGTGTACTTTTACTCCATGTATTTAATACCTTTAGTTACTTTACAGATGTGGATGAATGATGTGAAATATAATCAAGTGTTAAATCAGACTTTAGTTCCACCTGGAGTAAATCCACAAGCTACCCTGCAGTATACAAAGTCATTCAAACTCGCTGTACCTTTACCAGCTCTGAGAACACTTTCATGATCAATCATTATAAAACATATCATATATATTATTCTGAAATGGACCAATCTACATAATGACTACTTTCACTTTTGGTACTTTAATTATGTTTTGATGCCAATACTTTTGTACTTTCAACTTTCTAACCCCTATGGTGTTCCTTGTCAAAAATGACCACCATAGTAAAATGGGCAACTCTGGATTATGTTCTTCCCTCAGATAGTAGACACCCCCAAATTGACAACCTTGTGAATTAACATTTTCAGTGTCTATACTTTGTATATTCACTGCGGTTATTCATGTAAACCATGTGATATATTGTTTACATCTTAAAAGGGTGTTAAATAAAATTCAGAAATAGCCCGTTGGAATTTGACGGGGAACACCAAAGCAAGGGGGAGAAACAAACACGACAGGAGGGTTAAGTACACTAAAAAAACTGAAATGTTGACTTTAATTAAAGGTGACCTATCATGCAAAATGCACTTTTGTACGTCTTTTATACATGAATATGTGTCCCCGGTGTTCCAGGGAACTCACCAAGTGTCAGAAAACACAACCCTCTCTATTTTCCTCCATACCCAAATCTCTAAAAACGGGTCTGTAACGGATCTGATACAGACTGATCCAGATTTGAACACTGTCCTGACGTCAGGACGGAGGCGCTACGGCTATTGGGCCAACTCTCCACCTATCAGGGGAATGAGAGGTTGGGCCACGGCCGGCCATTGCCGCTCGAAAGCACTGGAGAAGCTGTAGTACATATGCCAGGCCTGTAAGTGGCGCTGTAGTCTGCCACAAAAGCAGCGAAGAAGACTTCCCTTGCATGGTTGCCATGGTTGCCCTTCTGTTTATTCTCCGCTGTGGCTCTTTTTCTCCCTCCCCGAGGCAAGCGTTTGGGCCTCCTGCTTTAAAACAAATTAATAATGACTCTATATAATCATATGTAAGGGATAATGTGCAGCGACGCGGTCATTGTGGGGAAAAGAACACCGACAGGCTGATCAGGAGCCCGACGCGAAGCGGAGGGATCTAGATCGGCATGAAGGCACATTATGCAATGTGCAATGTGCACATTATCCCGCTTATTACATGGCCACATTCTCAACAAAGTAACGACATGACTCCCAATATTAATTGAAATGCTTTTATGGATTTAGAAAATTATTTTATTGATTTAAAAAATAGTTGTATGTTGTAGTGATCACTCATTAACACACTGACAGATAATTCACACATGGAACTACAGTTGGGGTTTTTGTTTCCACACGGACATGTATGTGGTTTACTATATATATTGTGTGCCCTCCTGGCTTCTTTCTCTTGTCGTTCTGGGCTGCGAGCCGACAACATGTCCTTTGCAGATCTTGAGTAAAGTACCCTTTTGCACCTTCATTGCACCGCCTCCGACTCCCTTTCTCTCGGCACTACAATGTATTGATTTAAATTGACATGCATCCGCTAAGAAAAATAGTTACTGTTTGAACTAACGTAGCAACGGCAGGAACTGCTTCGATAGTGTTTTTGAGGAGCTTTTTGATTACAGATTTCAAAACATCATTGCTTGCTTTAAAAGTAGCACAATTCATTATGTCAAACCTTGGGAAGTATCTAGATATCCCTGCCCTAATGCCAAAGGAACTAGTAACTGAATATGTGTCACCGTCTGATGTCTATGTCTGGACCGCTGCGTAAAAAGGAGGGTTTCTGCCCCATTACTTCTCTTCTTACTTCTATAAGAATAAAACACGGAGGACGGAGATCTCTTTTTCTCCCCCTCTTCTGACAGCCCAGCAGCTGATCTCAGAGCACGCTCCCCTCTCCTGCAGGGGGGCGTGGTCAGCTGCAGCTCACAGAATCAGTCCCCTGCAAAAACAGGGCTGGAAAGAGCAAATAGAGCAAAATGATGCATGGCTAAAATGCAGGATCTGTTTGGTATTTTGAAAAAAACTATATTTATATACTTTATATAGGTATGGCCCTACAATATATTGTTCAAATATAGAATGATAGGTCCACTTTAAATGTATTATGTCAACAGATTTCACATAACTAATCGGATGGTTTAATAATATTAAGTTTAAATACAAAATATTAGGTTGAACTCAATAATATTGCTTTCAACTAACCTAATATAGTTATGTAAAATGTATTGACATAACACATTTAATTAAAGTCACAATTCAGTTTTACAGTGTAGCGAAATAAATACAAAAACAAACACGACAAGATTGACTGAGAAAGAGATGACGTTACAAGCTCAGCTTCACATGAGAGCAGACAGTGAGTGGGTGAGATGGTGTGGGAGGCAGACAGGAGGAGAACATTCAGCTTGCCGGGAGGAGGGAGTGGGAACATTGCTGTCCTCTTGGGTGTACGATGCGTGAGCGTGGGCTTCGGAGGGGTCCTGAGAAAGTTAAAACAAACAGTGCAGAGATATACGAGCAACCAGAGAAAGAGACACATGAAGGTCAGGGGGAATGTGCGTGACATTCCAGGGTCACAAGACAATGAATGATGAGGCCTCTGAGCGAGCGGAGTATATGTTACATAGGCCTGATCCAGACC